GCCAGCACCTCACTAGTTAAACCTCCTCTGGGGTGAGTTTCCGGTTATGTTCCAAGTGTTTGTCCGTGTGAATTTACTTACCGACTTATGTGTCATACGAGTACCTTGTCCGTTGCTTAAGTGGCCAGTCTTATTTTTCAAGGGTTCCCTGTTACTTTATGCTCCCTACAGCCGACTTCAAGTAGTCACTGTACTTACGGCGTCTCCAGTGACTTCCCGCACGGCGGCTGTGGTCGGACGTCGGAGGGGACCTGCGGTGCCGGCATTGCCTGCAGTGGTGCGCTTCCCCACGCTCGCTGAGCGTTCATTTCCCAGCACATCCTCTGGTCTCCGGGTTCTTATCGGTAGGACCAGTCTGAGGTAGGGACACCTAGACAGATAAGGGACATCCAGAGAGTGGGAGACAGCCATCCAAAGTGCAGAGTCCAAGCAGGTTCACACGCACATACGTCTTAGCGCCCGGCTCAGTGCGGAGGCCAGGTTTGAAATGATCCTGAAGCAAGTTCGGGCGAAGTGGTAGGACCGAGAGCCGGGATGGTGAGAGCAGTGAGTGTCTGGCATCGCTGAGGGTAGGAGGTGGTCAGGAGCTCATTCCGAAAGTGGCAAGTGAGCAGTTGTGTTTGGGTTAGTCTTGGAGGCCTCAGGAGAGGAGGGTAGGCACATATCCCGGGCAGTTAATGGTTCTCAGTTCTGCTGGGAAAGTAAAACCAGAGTGAATCACTAAAATGAGGTTTGCTCTTCCTGAGTCACGGCCTTAGGACATCACAGGAATGTAAATGTATCCTTCCCAGCCTTTTTAAAAATGGTCAGATACTTGATTAGACCTGGTTCTTGATGTGACGGGTGTGTGACGGGTGAAATTCAAGACTGAGATAAAAAACTGTTTATTAAGGGAGGAACCTCTATTTATTTTCAGTTTTTGCAATAGGGCATGTGTGCTTACTGGGGAGATGGGGAGGGGCGGGAAGTGAGAAATCACTCCCCAGAAGGAATGGCCACATGGATTCGGGGCACATTCACACGCGTGCCCAGTGTCATTTGCAAGCCACGTGTCTGGGACTCAGCTGCAGAGCTGGCTATGTGGTACCCAGCTGTCCTAATCTCCACACCACCTGCGGTCCCAAGGGAGCAAGTTCTTAATTAGGACAGAGTGCCAGCTACATTTTGTAGAAGAACAGCTTCCTGACTTCACGTGGAGTGTTCTTCTGTGAAACATTTAGAGCAAGTGCACATGTTTTATGACTTATTTTCAGGAGTGTGTATATTTTAACATTGGATCGATGTGTATGTTGAAGATAAATGAAAACACAGGACTGTTTCCTGATTTGGAGGTGGGGATGGTTTAGTCAGGCAGGTCGATAACACGCAACAGATTCCACTGGGAAGTCAAGAACACAGTGTACTGACACCTTCAGGGATGGCGGCAGATAGCTTCGGGTTCCTGTCTAAATGGTTCTCAGATCCCGGGCACTGGCAGGTGTCACTCTGGACTTAGATGATGGCTGCAGCAAGTGTGCGCATACGTGTGCGTGTATGTGTCTGTGTCCATGCATGTGCATGTCTCTGTGTGTGTGTGTGTGTCTGTGTGTATGTATCTGTGTGTCTTTGCATCTGTGCATGTGTGTCCTTGTGTATGTGTGTGCGTGTCTGTGTGTGTGTGTGTCTGTGCACGTGTCTCTGTGTGTGTGTGTCTGTGTATCTCTGTGTCTGCACGTGTCTCTTGTGTGCGTCTGTGTGTCTGTGTGTGTGTCTGTGCACGTGTCTGTGTGTGTGTCTGCACGTGTCTCTGTGTGTGTCTCTGTGTGCGTCTGTGTGTGTGTGTGTGTGTCTGTGTACGTGTCTCTGTGTGTGTGTCTGTGCATGTGCCTCTGTGTGTGTCTGTCTTAGTCGGTCCCGCAGGTTTCTACACTTCGACCGTGCACTGCTCAGTACACTCGGACGTCCCATGCCATATTTAATAAATGAATGATAATATGGTTAGGAAACTACAATAGGATTCTGTTCAAGATGGTCCCTTGGCCCCCACGTGTCCTTGGCAGTGACAGTTCCTGTGGCACACAAAACTCACTGATTCCTGGTCTTACTGATGGAGAATGGGGTGAAGCGTTTCTCGTAATTCATCCAGCCTGTGGAGAGGGGGTAGAGAAGACATCCAGGAACGTGACTTTTTAGAGGTTCTTGAAGTGCACAGTTTTTTCTTCTCAGAAAAGGCATGATATTTTATATAGGATGAAAAAGCAAAACGTTTGTTTTTTTTTTTGGTGGGGGTGTCTAGGAATTTCTTTGAACATTTTCCGTAATCGTTATCTACACGTTTTCTGTGTAGTGTAGAAACCCTGCCTTGGGCCTATGCACAGGGCCCTGCGTGATCAGTGTGAAGGAGCATGCGCAAGGCGCAAAGGTTGTAGTTGACTCTCGCCCACTTTATGAAGCACCGACTTCTTCACTGTTACTGCCGTGGGCTAGAAGAGGGAGAGGAGACATGTATGAACACAGAGCATTTTGTTGTGTGCTGGAGGGCTTAGGATTAAAAACAGCTACAAGAACTGTCTTGAGCCTTCATCACCGGCCCCCAAGTCCCTTTCCGTCATTTTCCTTACGGCTTTGGCAAGATGAGCTTTTATGTGCCCAGACCTACATGTGTCAGTGTGGGGACATGGGCTAGCGTCTTTCCTTGAGCCGTAGAGAAGTACTGGGAGTCCAGCATCAGGAAGGAAAAACTCAGAATGCCCTCCGCTGGGCCAGCAAGTGATGTGGTTAAGGGCACCGGACTCCCACGTGGCCGACTATAGTGCACATAGACTCACCAGAGAGAGAGAGAAAGTGAAAAAGCAAGCTGCCTGTTCTGGGACTTGAACTGCAGCCAGCCACGTGGGAGTCTAGTGCCTTAACCAACTCGCCACCTGCTGACCCCAGTGTAAAACTTCTGCTCTAACCTTTGTTTTTAGCTTGCAAGGTGCGGTTTGCTTCTTTTCTCTCATATTTTTAAACAGATTGTATTGAGCATCTACACTAAACCAGACATTGCCAAACATCGAGGGTATGAAGATAAGCTCATTTTGTTCACAGTCTAATACAGGAGACAGACATAAAATCCAAAATCTTAGAAAAAGATACTTTTATGTACCATAGTAGAATAACGATACACAAAGTGCTACGGAGCCCAGGGAAAATCAAGAAGAGTAAATGCCTTTCTGTCGGAAGAGGTAAAGCAGGAGAGCTTCACCGAGGAGGGCCGCCCTTAGCCTTAGCTGTGAGTGGTAGCGATAGGAATCTGATGGAGTTAGGAATCCGAGTAGATGGCACACACTGGGGAGAGTGCGGGTCCAGGCTGGGGGACTTTCAGACTTAGATCCTGAGGGGCTGCGTGACCATGAGGTACCAAGGAACTCGGATATTTCTTAGTGGTCTCTTGGTCTTCTCAACCTTTTTTCAGAAAATACCTAACACTGTTGGGATGTAGAGTGATAGGAAACTGACTGCCACACCTTCTTTTCAGCCACAGCAGCTCCGCACATAAACTCAGCAAGCTTTTTAAAAGCACTGGCCGGAGCCAGCAGTTAGTGTAATGGTTATGTCGCTGGACTCCCATGTAGTGGACCGCAGTTCGAGTCCCGGACCTGGTGGCTTAAACTCACGCCGGGTGCGTGTCGTGCATGCCCAAGATCCTGAGAGGAGAATGGAGGAGAAGGGATTGCAGCGTGCCTATTCCCCCTGGGGGGTGATTTCTCACTTTCTGTCTGTCTCTGTCTGTCTGGCAAGCGCAAACGCACTATAGCAAAAACCTCTTAAAAAAAGTTTCCTCTGTAACTATAATGATAGCAGAATCTTGGATGGAAAGATTACCATCTTTTAAAAATAACTACTGGCCAAAATATGTCCAAAGGAACTTTAATTTTATAATGTAGAACCCCATTTAATTAAAAAAAATGGTAGCATAAAAGAGGCCTCAATTTGAACCTCACGCTGAAATAATTGATTTTTCACAAATAATGGGGACCCAGGAAATCTTGAAATCACCTCTTCAGAAAGAAACAGAAAGCAATTGCAAATTTGAGGTCAGTTTTTATTACTATCAAGGGAGTTTCTGTATGTTGTACGAAGTTATAAAATTTTTTAGAGAGATTTTGGGTTTAGGGAGCATGCATTCGCTGGAGAGACAGAGAGCGAGAAATCACCCCCGAGGGGAGATGGCCATGTCGCAATCCCTTCTCTTGGGATTTTTGGGCACACACGAACATGTTCCTGGCATGAATTCCAAGCCTCCCGGTCTGGGCCTTGAACCACAGTCAACTTCGTGGGAGTCCAGCAAGATAACCATTATGTCTCTGAAGTTACAAAATTACTTCTTAAAATAACATTTCATTCTCATTTATTTAGTCTTATTTTATAGTTTGAATTCTGTCTCCTGTACATCTTTATTCATCATATGCTTTGCAGTAGCGTGCTTCTTTTTTAATTTTATTTCTTAAAGTTTTTTTTTTTTTTTTTGCTATAGGACTCATGCGTTTGCCAGACAGACAGAGAGACAGAAAGCAAGAAATCACCCCCTAGGGGGGATGGCCACGCTGCAATCCCTTCTCCCCCATTCTCCCCTCGGGATCTTGGGCGCACACACACGCGCCCGGCATGAGTTTTAAACCACCGGGTCCGGACGCAAACCGCAGTCGACTACATGAGAGTCCAGCGACATAGCCATTACGCTAACTGTTGGTCCCCAGTAGCGTGCTTCTTTATAGAACAGGCAGGACCTGTGTTCTCATTCAGAGATACTCAGATTCTGGTATGTTGATTGTTAACAGAATTCTTTATTAGTAATCATGTGACATTGACAGAGAACATTATTATCCACCGAAAACTCCTGAATTGCTCATCTAATTTTAGTAACATGTGAAAGCCTGTATTTAAACTGTTCCTCTTGTTTCTGTGTTAAGCAGGGAGAGAGGAGACCTCAGGGGTATAATTTGATGACAACTTACGCTCTTTGAAATGTGTTACAGTTATGCTAAGAAAGAGTCCGATCTTAGTGGAGCCCAGATCAAGCTTCGCGAATATGAAGCCGCGCTGAATTCTAAAGATGCAGCTCTGGCCACTGCGCTTGGTGACAAGAAAAGCTTAGAGGGAGAGTTGGAGGATCTGAAGGACCAGATTGCCCAGGTAAGGGGAAACTCTGCTCTCAAGTCGGATTTGGCAGGTTAATTTCACCATCTTGTCTTAAACCGTGGTTTGATGGGTTGGCTCACTGATTTTTAAATTGATTTTGTTATTTTTACTTACAAAATTTTGTTATTTAATTCCTTTTTGGTGGCTTGTCTGAAGGCAAGTCTTGAGGTAGCCGCCACCTGTTGACCCCTCTGTCTGCATTGTATTCATCTGCTGCCCCTCTTCCTCCTTTGTGCATACCTGGTTCTTCCTGCTCTCAAAAACATTTCATTATTGCATAAAAAATGTTCAGGAAAAGAGGTATCATATTGTTGCTTTCCACACAGGAAAAAAAAAATCATTAGTTAAAATCAGTTGGTTTAAACTTTGAAATGTGAGTTAGAAGTCTCTGTCCTGTTCTGTTGCCAGTCACCAGTTCCAGAGGTGGTTTCATTTGGCGCCCTGTGAGTGGGACGTTCTGTGATCAGTGTTAAAAGGAGGTGGCCAGACGTTGATAAATGTATGAGCATTGTAATACTCGACTCATGTCTTTTCAAATGATTGCCATGTAATTTTTCATCATTATTCTTTTTCCCTTAATAGTTGGAAGCCTCTTTAGCTGCTGCCAAAAAACAGTTAGCCGATGAAACTTTACTTAAAGTGGATTTGGAGAATCGTTGCCAGAGCCTCACTGAGGACTTGGAATTCCGCAAAAACATGTATGAAGAGGTAACCATAGAACTTTATTTTTTAAAAAATTTATTATTATTATCATTATTATTTTCCAGTTTGATCAGAGAGACACAGAGAGAGGGAGAGAGAGGAAGTGAGAAAGCAAACCACCAGGTCCGAGACTTGAACCGTGGTCAGCCATGTGGGAGCCCAGCGGTTGCCACTTGCCGGCCCCAATAGAGCTTTATTTTTTTAAGGAATGGAGGGAGTACTAGGGTTTTTGTTATAACAATATATGCATAAATATATTTTATTTATAATATATTTTACTTGCCCCCCCCACACACAAATATCAGATAGGCTTTAAAGATGAAATTTTGTAGGCAAATTATTCAAGGCATTGCTGCTAAAGGACTGTACCTAAGACCTGGAGCTGTTATGGTATATAGATACGATCTCACTCTTTCTAATAGGTTATGGGTTGTCATGGTTAGTTACTATCAGCATGTTTTTAAGCATTTGTATTAGTTGCTTAGTGCTGCTTAAATTATTCTAAAATTGAGCAACCTCAAACCAGGACACTTACCTCAATTTATGAAAGTCAGGAATCTGAGAGCTGCTGCAGTGGGTATTTCTATTTCAGGGTCTTGCATGAGGTTGCTTTTATTATTTATTTTTTATTTTGCCATCAGGTACATGTGCTTGCTGGAGATAGGGACAGTGAGAAGTCATCCCCCAGAGGGTAGCCCTACTGCATCCCTTCTGAGATTTTGGGTATGCACGCACACGTGCCTGGTGTGATTTTTAAGCTGCCAGGTCTGGACTCGAACCATGGTCAGACACGTGGGAATCCAGCACCTAACTATCACGCCATCTGGCTCTGAGGTTACTTTGAAGTTTTCAACATGAGCTGGAGGAACCGTCCCTGAGTTCATTCATGAGGCTATTGGCGGGAGGTGTCAGCTTCTCGCCATCTGGCCTCCCCAGGCCTGCTCATAGTATGTCTTTCCCCAAGAGTGAATGAAAAGAAAGAAGGAGACCAGGACAGAAGCCACATTGTCCTTGGTAGCTTCATTGCAGAAGTGACATTCCATCACTTCCCTCTGCCTGTCACACACCAGCCGTGGCGGTTGCGGAAGGGGATTGCAGTGGGGCGGAACTACTCAGAGGCAGCAGTCGCCTGGGCCGGCTTTGGTTTGGCTGCTTACGGCTTGTATGCATGTTTAGGAGCCAGCCTGTGGTGTGGTTGTTAAGGTGGCTGGGTCCCACATGGCCCACCAAGCTATTCAAGTATCGTTTACAAACAAGCCTTAACTGCTCTGATGAAAGCTGTGGGGCCCAACTGTTGCCAAAGGTGCAGTTAAGTATTTAATCATTTTAGAAGTAATGCAGTTTTGAAAATGGTGACTAACAATGATTTAAAAATAGGAACATTGTAGTTAACATTTCTGTAGAGGAAAAGCAAGAGATTTAATAGAAATCTCTTTTTAAATAACTGATCCATTTTATAACAGTATTTAAACTAAATAGGTATTTTCGGTGCACAGGATAGAGAAACAGACCTTGAGCAGCTCTTGAGTCAGTTATCTGAATGAAATACCGATGCAGTCATTTTTTTCTTCAAGCTGTGGTGAGGATAAACACTTAATTTGTGTGTGAAAGCTCTTTGTAAACTATAGTGAGTGCAGTCATGTCATTGTTAACAAGCATTGCTTTATAAAAGCAGATATTTTTTATGAGATAGATATACATTTTGTTAAAATCGTACCTGATCTATCATTTGTTTTCGATATTATGTACGAACAACTAGGAATAGGATATTTATTTATTTATTTATTTATTTATTGGGTAAGGTCACTGGTTCTACCTAAAATAATAATTGAAAAATGGCATCAGTAAAATAATTTTTTAAAAATCTTATTTTTCCTCCCCTATTGGGCATGCCAGCTTTCCAGCAAGGAACAGGGAATGAGAAAACACCCCTCACCACCACCACCACCACCACCACCACCATGGGGTGTGGTCACACCACAATCCCTGCTCCATTTCTTCCTGTTTTCAGAATTCAGGACCACACGCAGCACGTTTTCCAAGCCTTTGGGACTGGGATTTCAACTACAGTCAGCCACGTGGAACATGACTCCCTTAACTACTAGTTTACAGTGCTGGCCCAGTTTGGGCTTTCTGCGAATAGATTTTAAAATATTCTTAATTCTTTTTTTAATTGAGGGTATACTTCTCTTCAAATATACCTAACTTCCTTATTAATGCACAGTTAAAGTAGAGGAAAAAAAGGAAGGAGAAAAACAAGAAAAGCAAAATGGGCAGTTGTCCATCAGGTGCTCAGTATCTGTTGAACTACACCTTTCCTTCACACATTTTCATGATTTAAGTGATTTGTTTTGTGAAATTGATGCAAATGCTGGGAGGTTGGTAGTAGAGCTGTAATTTGAACCCTGTATTTTTGCTTATTCTGATTCTGTCTAGTGCATTTTCCTCTGCAGTGGTTAAGAGAAAGACAAGGAAATGCACAGAGAAATGCATGCAGTGAGGTTCGCAGACAGCAGCTTCAGTGGGTTATGCCTCCCTCTTGTGGCTTCTCTAATTATTGCCATTAAAGACTGGTCAGATCTGTTCTATTTCCGTAGCTAGAACCTGAAATGAAAACTTTGTCGTCATAGGCACAGATTCCTCATCCCCGTGTTTATGATGTAGCGTTACTAAGTGGTGTAGTTACTATCCAGTGTGGTTACTGTCTAGTTATCCATTGTGGCATCATCCAGTCTATTCCATGCCTTCAGAAAAATACATGGTTGTGCTTCCAAAAAGAAATAGGTAACTTCCTGGGGCTTGTGATGTTACCGTTTCTGTCAGTAGTTAAATGTCAGTCATCTCAACTAAGTGTCTATTCTTACACCTGCTGTTGGACAGACAGGATCGTCATCAAACTTCAGGTGGCCCTGATGTCACTTGGACTTGTACTGTGCAGCCATGATAAATAACTTGGTTTTATCATGAACAGTCTGCCATGCAAGCAGAAATTATTTTCAGTAATTACTTTCAGTAGCTTTTATTCATCTTTTGAAGTGGTGGTTAGGGAAATTACCTTTTGGGAGTCCGGTGCCTCAACCACCATGCCACCCCCATGTGGCCGACCATGGTTCAAGTCCCGGCTGGACCTGGCGGCTTCCTTTCTCTTGTCTGTTTCTCTCTGGTCAGAATTGAAGAATAATGATAACAAATTAAAATAAAAGAAGTAACTTGGTTTTATGTCTTTTCTTCTTTTCCTAGGAGATTAATGAGACCCGAAGGAAGCATGAAACACGCCTGGTGGAGGTGGATTCTGGGCGTCAGATTGAGTACGAGTACAAGCTGGCTCAAGCCCTTCACGAGATGAGAGAGCAGCACGATGCCCAAGTGCGGCTGTACAAGGAAGAGCTCGAGCAGACTTACCACGCCAAAGTGAGTACTCAGCGTTTGAACACTGCAGATCAGCGCTTTAGGGGTGGCATGGTGGTTGGGGGCACTGGACTCCCACATGGCCAAACATGGTTTGAATCCCGGACCTGGTGGCTTGCAATCTCACTTCCTCTCTTTGTGTCTCTCTCTGGTCAAACGAAAAAAATAATAGTAATAAATAAAAGTTGAATTAAAAAAATCAGTACTTTACAGTCATCGTGAAGAACGTGATGATAATTGGCTTGTTTCAGTTTTCTTAAGTAGTTCTCTTAGTCTCCATGAATATAGAAAATAGATTTCTATAAAAAGAACATTCACGTCTTCCGGTACTCCAGCAGGGTCTTCCTGCCGCTCTCCAGGCCCACCCTTGGGCACATGCACTTGCAGTTGGTACGTGTGGAGAGGCTCCCAGGTGCAGACCCAGGACCTTCCCATGTGGGCTCAGTTGTATTACTAATGTGCCATTGTCAGGCCCCAGAAAATGGACTTTCTTTTTTAAACAAATTATTTATTTATTTATTTTAATGATATCAAAGAGAGCCAGAGAGAGAAAGAGAGAGAGAGAGAAAGCTACCAGGTCTAGGACTTGAACTGTGGTCAAACATGTGGGAGCACCTAGCACCTAAACCATTTGCCACCTACCTGCTGGCTCCAGTACCTTTTTTTTTTTTTTTCCACTTTTATTCATTATTTTTGTTGTTATTGTGAATTTCAAGCTGCCAGATCCAGGACTTGAACCATGGTTGGCATTTGGAGATCTAGCATCTTAATTCCTCTGCCACCTGCTTGCCCCCAAATGGACCTGTTTTTTAAAAATTTCAATTTCTATGGTTAAATGTTACTAGAATTTATTGGAAAAAATGAATGTTTTTCTGATTTTATTAGAGGCGAGGGTTTATCTTTTTTCCTATTCATGTCATGTCAGAGCAGTTAAACACAAGGCATCTGAAATACTTTTCCAGTAACAGCAAGCTTGGTACCGGCGTGGTATTATGTGCTGTGCTCACACCCAGTTAGTAGTCAGCACCTGCTGGGCTGCCTGTAGTCCGGACTGCACGTCACTGTCCGGAGATCACGGCCAGCACTCTGCGCTTTCTGTACAAGGGCCAGATGGAAAGTCTCTGACATTTTGTTCTCTGTCACTATTACTCATTTAAAAATATTATGGAGACTTTTCACTTGGAGTAGACCATATAGAAATCCATAAAACACCAACTGGTATAGGCTTTCCAGTAAATGATTTTATCCCTTGTGTCAAATGTTATGATTTGATTAAAAAGAGTTACAAGTGGCAGAAAATTAGGGTCATGGAGTTACTGAAAATATTTTTAGCTTGCATGGCAGACCTTTCATCTTGCTTTTTATGTGCAGACGCACGCTGTGGCCTCAGCGGCAGCCAGGGAAGAAACGTGGAGTGCACGTGGCTGAGACTCGCACTCAACAGGCCGTGGTGGGCATTTGGAGGAACCGAGTCGTGGTTTTTTCTGAGGAGCTGGTTTTACTTCAGAAGGGATGTGTTTCTCTCTGGCTTGAACAACTTGTGAATTAGTATGGCCTGCTTATGCGTTATGTCCTGCATGGGGGTTGTTGGGTTAAGGATATGCGATGTCCGTCTTCCTACAAAATCTTCACAGCACGTTGCCACTGCCCGTCCTCCTTACCAGCAGCGTCATCCTAGCCCTGAAGGTCTGATGGATGAAGTATTGAAGTACAGGGCTTTGGGTGAAGCCCCAGGTATCCTAGCATCATTAAAACTCATATGTTGGGAAGTGAGTCTAGAAGTCAGAAGGACTTAAGGTAACTCAAACCACGTCAGCAAACTTCATGATGCTTTTCCTGTGTTTCATCAACCAGTTACCAGCAGGGCTTAGGTTTGAAATGCCTTGAGTGAATCATCCTTCCTCATTTGTTAGTTCTAATTTACCAGACAAGACTCAGTGTGGTTTGCTGTTGCTTTTAGCTCGAGAATGCCAGACTGTCCTCAGAGATGAATACTTCTACTGTCAACAGTGCAAGGGAAGAACTGATGGAAAGTCGTATGAGAATTGAGAGCCTTTCATCTCAGCTTTCTAATCTACAGAAGGAGGTAAGTAAGTGTCTCTTCCTGCAGAATCAGAGTTCGGTGGAAAGGTCACACCTCCGCTGCGGTAGTGTACCTGCCGGGCTTGGCCTGGCGCCATTCCTGACTCCACTTGCACCGAGGGATGGTGGCTTTCTCCTGCACTCTGGGTTTCACAGTGCCTGCTTCCATTGGGCCTTGCATAGACATCCTCCGAGCAGACACTTACTCATTAACAGATTACACAGAACTAAGGGCTTACCTTGAGGAAGAGGCCCCTACTTTATTCACAGGTTTTCTGATCCTGCAACAGCTTCGTTTCTGGAGTGCTAGTCTCAACACATTCTTTTTTTTTCTTCCTCCTGCAGGCACCATGGGTCTGGCTTCTAGCTCAGGTGGGCTGGAGATTAGACACTGGTCTGAGCTGCACAACTTGGAGCAGGGTTGCTTTGCCAGGTCTGTTCCCCTCACTTCCCCCATGCCAACACAGAGAGGGTTCACCTGGCTGGATCACAGCCAGCACTCTGCGCTTTCTGTACAAGGGCCAGATGGAAAGTCTCTGACATTTTGTTCTCTGTCACTATTACTCATTTAAAAATATTATGGAGACTTTTCACTTGGAGTAGACCATATAGAAATCCATAAAACACCAACTGGTATAGGCTTTCCAGTAAATGATTTTATCCCTTGTGTCAAATGTTATGATTTGATTAAAAAGAGTTACAAGTGGCAGAAAATTAGGGTCATGGAGTTACTGAAAATAATTTTAGCTTGCATGGCAGACCTTTCATCTTGCTTTTTATTCCTCTTTTGAAGCGGTCATTGATTAGGAAAAGTGAGAGATCTTCTACATAGTGCCTTCCGTTGACTAACGCCTGGTCCACATAAGGCCCTGAGCTCGACAGCAGAGGTGCTGATGATGTGAGGGTCAGTCACAGGCCGTGGCCTCAGCGGCAGCCAGGGAAGAAACGTGGAGTGCACGTGGCTGAGACTCGCACTCAACAGGCCGTGGTGGGCATTTGGAGGAACCGAGTCGTGGTTTTTTCTGAGGAGCTGGTTTTACTTCAGAAGGGATGTGTTTCTCTCTGGCTTGAACAACTTGTGAATTAGTATGGCCTGCTTATGCGTTATGTCCTGCATGGGGGTTGTTGGGTTAAGGATATGCGATGTCCGTCTTCCTACAAAATCTTCACAGCACGTTGCCACTGCCCGTCCTCCTTACCAGCAGCGTCATCCTAGCCCTGAAGGTCTGATGGATGAAGTATTGAAGTACAGGGCTTTGGGTGAAGCCCCAGGTATCCTAGCATCATTAAAACTCATATGTTGGGAAGTGAGTCTAGAAGTCAGAAGGACTTAAGGTAACTCAAACCACGTCAGCAAACTTCATGATGCTTTTCCTGTGTTTCATCAACCAGTTACCAGCAGGGCTTAGGTTTGAAATGCCTTGAGTGAATCATCCTTCCTCATTTGTTAGTTCTAATTTACCAGACAAGACTCAGTGTGGTTTGCTGTTGCTTTTAGCTCGAGAATGCCAGACTGTCCTCAGAGATGAATACTTCTACTGTCAACAGTGCAAGGGAAGAACTGATGGAAAGTCGTATGAGAATTGAGAGCCTTTCATCTCAGCTTTCTAATCTACAGAAGGAGGTAAGTAAGTGTCTCTTCCTGCAGAATCAGAGTTCGGTGGAAAGGTCACACCTCCGCTGCGGTAGTGTACCTGCCGGGCTTGGCCTGGCGCCATTCCTGACTCCACTTGCACCGAGGGATGGTGGCTTTCTCCTGCACTCTGGGTTTCACAGTGCCTGCTTCCATTGGGCCTTGCATAGACATCCTCCGAGCAGACACTTACTCATTAACAGATTACACAGAACTAAGGGCTTACCTTGAGGAAGAGGCCCCTACTTTATTCACAGGTTTTCTGATCCTGCAACAGCTTCGTTTCTGGAGTGCTAGTCTCAACACATTCTTTTTTTTTTTTTTTTTTAACCACATTTGGAAACAAAGTTAAAAAAATGCAAAAATTCTAGGCAGAATGGTTCTAAACAAATTCTCATAGTGCTTAAACTACAGAATCATTAGGATCTCAGGAAGTAGCAGTATTTTTCAAATTTGTTAAGAATTTAGTGACTGATTTACACAGGCCCAGCAGGTGGCGTGGTGGTTAAAGGTGAGGGACTCTGAAACTGGCCCACTGTGGTTTTAGTCCCAGACCTGGCAGCTTGCTTTCTTACTTCCCCCTTCTCCCTCTCTCTCTGCTTGGTAAGTATGTAAGTAAACAAACACTTAAATAATTCTTAAAAAAAAAAAAAAAAAAAGAACTCAGTGACTAATTCACACATTGGTACCTATGAGTAATTAGCTACTGCCAGTGCAGGGTGATGTGCCCCAGGGGCAGCTAGTAGGAACATGGACACTGCTTCAGGCCAGCCTTCGCTGCTGTCAGTTGGATACAAACTATACACGCCAACCACATCAGCATCCAGAATGATTTAATCATCTGCCACTTCCTTTAGTTACTTGGGAAATAACTTAAGCTTCTATTTTCCTGAAGGAATAAAGAAATCTTACTTATTTAAAATTTTTGTCAGAGTATGTGCACTTGCCAGAGGGAGAGGGAGAGAACACTCCCCTGTGGAGCGTGGTCATGCTGCAGTCCCGTCTCCACTTCTCTATCCTGTTGGGATTTTGAGCACACACAAGCGCGTGTCCGGCCTTCAGACTGCGGGGGCAGCGATTTGAACTGTGTGTTTGGCCACATGAGTTCAGTTTCTTTAAGCACTAGGCTGCAGGGCTGGCCCAAGGAAGGAAATCTTGTTTTGAGTTTTTTACACAGGCATAAACTTTATTCTTTCCTTTCCTTTCCTTTTTTTTTTTTTTTTTAATCTTTTCCAGAGAGGTTTTTGCTATAGGGTGTGTGTGTTCACTAGAGAGACAGAGGTAATAAACAAGAACTCATTCCCCATGGGAGATGGGCACACCACAATCCCTTCTGCATTCTCCTCTTGGGATCTTGGGCACTCACGCAATTTCAACCAATGGGTCTGGGACTTGTGCTGTAGTTGACTACGTGGGAGTGCAGCAATGTAACTATCAGGCCATCTGCTGGTCCCACTTTACTTTATTCTTAATTAGGCTTTTTTCCCTTCTTTTTAATGCATTTTAGTTTTAGTATAATCTTTTCCAATTATAAAATCAAAGACAGTTATTATAGGAATTTAGAAAACAAAGCAGACAATGAGTCACTTAAAGTAGGGTGTTGTAAAAAATTAACATAAAAGGTTTTACATTGCTTTTCATGTTCTTTATTTTTTGTGACATTTTTAAATTGTTCTAGATCTATTTGGTCCTAAAGTGTATTTTTTGTTTATTCGTGTTTAGGTTTTTGCCATAGGGCATGTGTACTTGCAGGAGAGAGACAGAAAAGTGAGAGATCACCCCCCCACCTCTGTGGGGATGGCCACACCATAGTCCCATCTCCTTTATTCTCCTCTTGGGATTTTGGTTGTTCATATGCCTGGCCTGATTTTCTAGCCGCTGGGTCTGGGACTTGAACCATGTGGAATCCAGCTGCCTTTGCCACCATGCTGCATGCTGGCCCCTGTCCTTAAGTTTTTATCTAATAGTAGAGTTAGAAGAACCTTTGAGTGAAGATCCATCCACAGAACCTAGGTGTGTTTAAGTTGGCAGAGTGAGGTTTGGTAAGGGCCCATTTCCTGATTGATTTCCTGCTGTGTTTTCTCACAGAAGAAGGATAAATAAGCTGCCTTGTATGGGACTCTTTTTTTTGGAGAGGTTTTTGCTACAGGGCATGTGTGCTCACCAGAAAGACAGAGAGAGACAGAGAGCGAGAAATCACCCTCCAAGAGTGATGGCCACGCCACCATCCCTTCTCCATTCTCCTCTCAGGATCTTAGGCACGCATGCACACACGCCCAGCGTGAGTTTAAGCTGCTAGGTCTGGGACTCGAACTGTGGTTGTCTACATGGCAGTCCAGCGACATAGCCATTACTCCAGCTGCTGGTTCCTCTCTCTCTTTTTTTTTTTTTTTAAGAGAGATTTTTGCTACAGGGTGCGTGTGGTTACTAGAAAGACAGCACTGTCCCCAGGGGGATAGCCATGCTGCAATCCCTTCCTCTCTAGTCTCCTCTCTGGATTCTGGGCATGCATACACATGTGGCCAGTGTGAGTTTCAAGCCACTGGCCCGGGACTCAAATGGCTGTCAACTACGTGGGAGTCGAGTGACGTAACCATTACGCCATCTGCTGGTCCCAGATTCACTTCACTTCACTTCCCAGTGAAGTCTTTTGTAAGACTTCACTCTCCTGCTCTAATCAGCACTCAGAAGGCCCCGCCTCTTCATGCTCTGGGCTGGGGTTGAAGATTTCAGCATGTGAATTTTTGGGACTCAGGCGTTTAGACCATAGCACTGTCTTAACAAGCACCTTCCCAGAATAGACCTCTCAGTTCTTGACTGAGTTGATGTTTACTCCTTTCTCCATTTATTCGCATCCTAATTATTATTGCCTCTCCTTCAGGCTTCTCCCCTGCTCTCCCTCTTTCTGGTTGCTGTTTAATCTGCTTTGATTATACCTGGTACAGATGCTATTCTCATGAGGTCGAGCTTCATTTTACAGATGGAGAGACTGAGACTTTTCTGTACTTAAATAGCAGTAGGCTTTGGAACTTGGCGGCCATGTCTTTGACCCCAGTTCAGGGTAGTTTTCCTGTTTGTCTGTTGAGTTTTATCCCCATCTTTGCAAGTTCTTTGTTAACGTTGGGTTAGAGGGGCGTTTTTAAGTTTTGTTTATTTGTTTGTTTCTGCTATAGGGTGCCTGTATTTGCTGCAGAGAGGGAGAGAAAGGGAAAATAAGAAATCACTCCCCAGGGGGATGGCCACAGTACAATCCCTTCTTCATTCTCTTGGGAGTTGGGGCATGTACACGTGGCGCCTAAGGTCCAGGAAACCGCACAGCTAGCCATGTGGGATCTAGCCGCATTAACCTCTACACCATCTGCTGACTCCAA